CCCCAGCCTCCCAAGTGCTGGGATTACAGACATGTGCCACCATGGCCAGCTTGACACACTTTTTAATCAGTAACAGGTTTTATTTTTCCCAGAATGATTTTTTTTTTTTTTTTTCCTTTTGGCAGAACCGGGGATTGAACTCAGGCCTTTGCGCTCGCCAGGGAAGTGCTTATTCCATTGAGCCATCTCCCCGGCCCCCTCCCAGAATGATTTTAAGACCTATATGGAAGACATTGAGAAAGTTTTTTCTTTATGGAATAAGGGTGAAATTTCCTGTATCTTTTTTCGTTGGTCCCTTTGACGTGACATATGACTATATTCTTCTGGAGACAGTAATTATTTATTTTCCTGTGTGCTGACCCATTGAGATGAGGTTGTAGAGGGAATACTATGCTTGGCTTGTGGGATTCAGAATGAATAAGATGAGTAGTCTCACTCTGTTCACGCTGGCCTTGAACTCACTATGTTGTCCAAGTTGGTCTCCAACTCACTGCGATTCTCTTGCCTCAGATTCCCAAGTGCTGGGACTACAGGTGTGCACCACCATGCCTGGCATGATTGTTCATCATTAGTGATTTTTTCCTGAATCCTTGTGATTGTGCAACAATACTTTTAATATGAACGCCTTGAAATAACTGAAATACAGTGCTCTGTTAACTTGATGGCTAAATGTGCTTTTTTCCACCTAAGTAATTGTATAACTATTGTCTTATGTAGTTGAAATCTAAAATTTTATGGGACCAGTGGTTGTCAATCTGTAGCAAATACAAGAATCACAAGAAAAAGAAAGAAAGTTGCAGAAAAGCCTCATTACTAGACTCCAAGCCCATATTTTTCTGATTCAAAAGGTTCAAGAACAGCCAAGGGTTTGCATTTGTTTCCTGATACAGCCAATGCTGTTGGTCTGGAGCCACAGATAGAGTCTTTGAATCAGGCACATGAGGTGATGTGTATGGTGTCATAAAGGGTTGGTAATTCTTCTTAAAGTATAAACATCAGCAATTTTAAAGAAAAATAATCATTCCCCTAGAGACATTGCCCCTTAAAAATGCCTTTCTTTTACCATATGGTTTTGACCATGCATTAATTTCTGAGTTAGCATGTTTTATAATTGTGATACACTTTTTGTCTTATAGCTGGAATTATTTCTCTTCTGGATGAAGAAGAACCACAGCTTAAGGTATGAGCTGAAGAATGTCACTAAGCTTACTATGAATTGTGATGCCTTTTGAATTTTATATCTGTATGTCACTATGATTTAAAGTAATCATCCCATGTGCCTTATTGTCAGTCACTGAAATCCAGACAGGGCAGCTATGTCAGTAGCAACTGATTTTCCTTGAGTTTAACAAAGATGAAGCAAAACTTTAAAATAACACTTAATTATCCTCCATTTCATTTATGAACTGAAAGCACAGAAGGCTGTTTTGGTTTTTTTTTTTTTTCACATTTTTTTTTTTTTAAAGTTTTTTTGATAAACATATAGCAATGAGACAGTTTCAAATCAAATCGAAAGTACAGTTTCAACAAATAATACACTGCATATATTCTTCTTAGTGGTTAATTGCTGTACAAGATGCAGACTTGTGATCCTACTTACAAACACCATTAGAAAAAATCATTCTATTCATTAAGAGAATGCAACTATATATCTATCCCAACCACTTTGAATACACAGATACAAAATGGACATTCATAGTTATACCCCAATTTTTTTTTAAGTTCCGTTGTTGAATATTATAGGTGTGTAAACTCAGCAAAATATTCTAAAAGAGTACAGAAGCCCATAATAGCATTGGGTCTTCTGTTTAATTGGCAATGTCAGAAATTATTGACGTGAGTCCCCCACAGCTCAACATAACAACATGGCTTTACTTCCTATATTTCATCTTCATACTTTTCTACTGGATGGTTAAGACCAAGGTAAAGCAGAACCTATGCAACAAGAGTTGTAGCTTTTTGGTTTGAGAAGGTCAGTGAAATGCCCTCAGGATTTATCCTGAGATCCTGTACCTCAGATTGTAGAACCTTTGTCAGTGCAGCCATGTGGATGAGTCACGGCCATTGCTTGGCCAATGTGCTCTCTGTGAAAGCCTGAGAGAGTGTCTTCTCCTCATGTGACTCTCCTTAGGCACATTCCACGTCATCGATCAATTTCCTCTTTGGCCCCATAACCTTCTTGATCAGAAAATCCGGGACACTACCGAGGTACATGACGTTACAGTACAAGTTCTCATATGTCCTGAGTCTTAATTGACCTTAGAAAGGTAGGGCCAAAATATTGGCTTTCCTTGTAGCCCTCCTTTTTCTCTAATTTTGGTCTGCAAACTTAGGTTGTTAACCATCCAGAAGACAAGCTTATTGTTATTATCAAACGATTTACGTTATCAAGCTTAACCTCACTATTTCACTACATTTCAAACATCTTAGGCATAATAAGGAACAGGTATTTTTCATCAAGTATTGATACGTTGTTTTCACATATTTAAAGTTATTTTTATTTGATAGAAATTTGGAATGTGCTTTAAGTACATAGCTTTAAATGCCTACATTTATTTCTATTTAAACTAGCAACCTGGAGTCAGTCCTATTGATTCTGAGAGGAAAAACCTTCCTTATGATAAATAATGACATTATATAGTTTGTCTAGTGTTTGTGTTTTTCATTTGTTTGTTTTTGTATTTTTTGTTTGTTTTTTGTTTTTTTGAGGCAAAGACTTACTATGTAGCCCAGGCTGGCCTTGAACTCACAGCAATCTTCCTTCCTCAGAAGCCAAATTGCTGGGAAGTTTAGTGTTTTATGGTTGAAAACAGAAAGAAAATGTGTAAATTCAGGAATAAGTTAGATTATAAGTATTTGCCATAGATTAAAATTTTTAATGACTGTAACTTAGGATTTGACCATTGATTTGTTGAAAATTTTTAAATAAAGGGCATTGGAAGTCTGTCTCAAAATATAATTTTTGTTTTATTTCTTACAGGAATTTGCACTACACAAATTGAATGCAGTTGTCAATGACTTCTGGGCAGAAATTTCTGAGTCTGTAGACAAAATGTAAGAAACATTATTCCTATACATTTGGAAAACAGATCAGTTTTAATGTGTAGATGTGATTCTTAAGGCTTACTAATTTATTTAGAATTATATGGCTAAATTGTAGCTTGAGTATTTAGAATTGGGATTTTTAAGGAAAACATTAGCTTGAATGAGTCCTGTCCTCCTTTGTTTCTTTCAGAGAAGTTTTATATGAAGATGAAGGTTTCCGGAGTCGGCAGTTTGCAGCCTTAGTGGCATCTAAAGTATTTTATCACCTGGGAGCTTTTGAGGAGTCTCTGAATTATGCTCTTGGAGCAGGTGATCTCTTCAATGTCAATGACAATTCTGAGTATGTGGAGACTATTATAGGTAATTATCCTTGGCCTGCCATGGCTTCATGTTACTGGCTTCCTGCTTCCTCTAGTACACAGGTGGTCAATCTCTTGACTTCCTGGGCCACATCAAAGGAAGAGCAACACAATTAAAATGTATAATGTATGTAAATAACAAAACTTTCTTCTCAACATTTTTTATTAAATCCTTAAAAAAAGATAGCAATATAAACACAGAGCTAAGTGCGATAGTTTACCTTGTTTTTGTGAGACTAACAGATCAGTGTCTTATTCAAAGGAAGCTGCTGTGGCCCATTCCAGGTTATTTGATCATTATTCCACAAAGGTAGGTTAAAACACAGCCTTTATTCAAGATGCTAATAATTTAATTAATATGAAGAAATCTAATTTATTTCTTTTGTAATAATTACTGTTATAGACCTTTTAAAATATCATCAATAATAGCCAAAAAGGTTCTTTTGAAACTGAAACAACAACTCTTTTGAGTAAGCAGCTAAATCAAGTGGCGTAACATAATTTTGTTAAAACAAATGTAGAAATTTGAGTAGTATGATCCTTCAGTCTGACACTGTCCCAACTAAGCTGTCTTGGGTACCTGACAGGAATGTAAAACTTATTGGAATTAGTATACAGACCTTTATAGTAGACCATTATAAAGAGAGCAGTTTTAATTAAAAGTATATATTGTGTGATTTTAAAACTTGCTTATTTATAGTTATCAGTATACGCTTATAAAAGTAGACAGTGTCTGTGTCAGTTAAGCTCAGTTGTCAGTCTGACTGGCTTGATCCTGCCTAGAGGATTAATAAGGCACACTTCCCTTGTATCTGGGTGGGCTGTGAGATGTGATTTTGGGCACTAGGTCTGGTCCCCGGCCCCTTCCTCCGGCACTGTGCCCCTGCTCTGCTTCTCGCCTCTGCAAGGTGAGCAGCTTTCCTCCTAAGGCCTGCCATGTTTCTGCCTTGAAACAACCCAACAATGGACTAAAACTACAGGCCACATAAATCTGACCTCTATGTCGTGGAGATCAGGTGTTTTGTCCCAACAGTGGGCATACAATGTCCTTTCTGGTAGTTTGGCCCAATTTAGAAAATAATCAGAATTACTTTATTTTTTTCCATAGCAAAATGCATTGATCACTATACCAAGCAGTGTGTGGAAAATGCAGATTTGCCTGAAGGAGAAAAAAAACCGATTGACCAGAGATTGGAAGGCATTGTGAATAAAATGTTCCAGCGATGTCTAGATGACCGCAAGTATAAGCAGGCTATCGGCATCGCTTTGGAGACAAGAAGACTAGATGTCTTTGAGAAGACCATACTAGAATCGGTAGGTAGACAAGTCATTTTAGAGGTTGTTCATTATGGGGAAATCTACAAAACAAATTATTCAAACTGCTAATGTCCTGGGTAGAGAATAGAAAATGTACTTTAAGGAGGTTTTTTTGTGTTTGTATTTTGTGGTCATAAGAATGTCAGCTTTTATCCTGCTACATTTCTCTATGCTTTGAAGTTTGCATGAGGCAGTTGGATTAATAACTCTGTCTTTTTAAAGAAAATCATATTAATGTATGCAGTGTGTTAATTATTGAAACTGTCCTACCAATTTGATTTGAAACTGTCTCATTGCTATTTGTTTATCAATAAAATTATGGGGAAAAAAAGAAAATCATATTGATAAACTTTTTTTTTTTTTTTTTGGTGGCTCAGGCTGCCTGAAGGGCAGGTCTGATAAGGCAGATGGAGCTAGGGATTGAACCTCAGTATTCAGCTCCTGACTGCCTTTGCATGAGCAGGCACTTAAACAACTGAGCTAAGGGCAGGCCCCCCCTCTTTCTTCTTGATAAACTTTTAATGCCTGTTATGTTAGAACTATGAACTAGATTCCAGATTTGAGAGTGTCTTGAAATGATTAAGGTATTTGTAAGTCACCATCCAAAGAGGTCTGAGGATACAGGGCTGAGCTTAGTGGGCTTAGATCTGCAGAGCCACTGGGCCTCACTGCTCTTTCTTTCCACCAGCCGGTGTCCTGCCCTCCTGTGTTGGCCTAATTTTATCTTCTGATCTTACTTTATATCCTAGTGCACATTTCCATACAGGTGGAACTATGAAACAGTACCCTTACTATTTTGTGGTTTAATGCTATTTTTAATTAGTATTGAATTTTTAAAAGTGCATGAATCAGGGACAGGGATATAGCCCAATATTGCAGTACCTGCCTGACAAGTGCAGTGTCTTTAAGTTCAATTCCTGTTCCCCCACCCTCCAAAAAAAACCATTAATCATGCACTCTTGAGTTGATCTCATCATACTCAATGTGAATCAACAATGTGTTTTTTGAGAAACACTGTTATAGCTCTCCAGTACTCTTCTATATGTTGGACTATTATAGGGTAGTATCTCAAGTTTTGGGCATGTTTGTAAAAATCACAAAGTAAAACATGTACAGGTCAAAGTCTCCTCCTAGGAGAGCAAAAGGTAGATGTAGCAGCACTAAATGCTTCTTTTTTTTTTTTTTTTTTTTTTTTGCGGTACCAGGGATTGAACTCAGGACCCTGCACTTGCCAGGCAAGCGCTTATTCTACTGAGCTATCTCCCCGGCCTCAGCACTAAATGCTTGAGTCACTCTTCTAACACTTGTGTTTCCTAAACTCACCTGAGTGTGAGCACTAGATCAGGAACATACCTAAAGCCAGAAGCAGAAAGTCTTTAATAGACCCAAATTGTAAAGCATAGCTACTTAGCATATGAACAGGTGAAATACCTTTTCAAAATAATAATGTCACACTGTTACAGTACACTGTGACAGGGATCTTAGGGGAATGTTCAGTGATCATTAAATATTAAATTGTTTCAAATCTTTTCCATGAAGATATGGAAATACATAATTCCCCCCCCCCCTTTTTTTTTTTTTTTTTTTTTTTTTTTTTTGAGACCGAGTCTCACAATACAGCTCAAGCTGACCTTGAGCTCACTTGGTAGCCCAGGCTAGTCTCAAACTCACAACAGTCCTCCTGCCTCAGTCTTCTTGAGTGCTGGAATCACAGGGGTGTACCACCATGCCCAGCTAATTCTTCTAAGATTTCCTTCTAGCTAGGCATGGTGGTGCACACCTATAATCCCACCAGAGGCAAAAGGATCATAAATTTGAGCCCTGACAAATCCTGTCTAAAAAATAAAACAAAAAAACAGTGGCACTGGGGATTTAGCTCAGCATAGCCTGGGTTGAATCCCAATGCCACTCAGTCTTCACCCTCTAAAGCACACATTTGTAGACTTCTCTCTTCTATTTTAATTTTTAAAAATTTTTTGGTGCAGGGGATCAAACTCAGGACTTGTGCTTGCCAGGCAGGTGTTTAGAACACTGAGCCATCTCCCTGACCCCAACTTCTCTTCAATATAGCTTAAATTTTTAAACCAGAGGGTTTAAGTTATTGGCTTCCCTGAAAAACCAAGAGGGTAGATTAAAATAGTTCAGATTCTAGGGGCCAGCGAGATAGCTCAGCGGACTAAAGTGCCTGCTTAGGCAAGTTTAGGCAAAGCACAGGGACCACAGTTTGAGGATCCCTGACATCACATGCTTTGCCAGCCCTGCCCCCAATGTGGCTGAGTGCCAGAGTCCGGGCGTGGTGGCACACGCCTATAATCCCAGTGCTGGAGAGGCTGAAAGCAGGAAGATCGCCAGGAGACTGAACTGCATGGTGAAACCCCGTAACAACCAAATACATGAATAATTAAAAAAAAAAAAAAAAAGTTCAGGTTCTAAATGAATGTAATGCTTCAATAACTAGATAATAATATGTCTTTAAATTGTCTCTTTCAGAATGATGTCCCGGGAATGCTAGCTTATAGCCTCAAGCTCTGCATGTCTTTAATGCAGAATAAACAGTTCCGGAATAAAGTACTAAGAGTCCTAGTTAAAATCTACATGAACTTGGAGAAACCTGATTTCATCAATGTTTGTCAGGTAATTACTCTGCATTATGTTACGTTTCTCAACCTGTGCTGTGATATTTTACAACATAACTACTTTGTAGTTTATTACATGATATTACATTACTCTAGTAGCTTTATATGTATATTTCAGTTGATTTTCTTTATAACAGGCCTATCAAGGTAACATTTATGACTTATGTTCCTTTTTATTGAT